ATACTTAGAGAACATCCTTGAATCTTCTCATACAAAAAACTATAAATCTGCCAACGTTTTTCTTATTGTGGCCCCTACAACGACCGGAGCTTGTTATTCGGAATACAGTTACGATTCTGTTAAACCGTGTTGTGATACAGAGACTTGTTGAGTGAAGTAGTGTCCAAGAATACTGAGCTTTAGGTGTATGCTAGAAAAGATTCTCATACGAATACGAATTAGCTTGTTAAATTTTAATAGTTTAAGAACTAAAATTAATTGATGAAATAACTTGTAAAATCCAGCAATATGATCAAACAGGATGAAGGACTGCGTAGACGTCCAACTTTGTGACCAACAAACAGGATTCCGTAAAGATAGATCGTGTACCAATCAAATCGCAACACTACGGATCATTGTGGAGCAATCAATTGAATGGAATTCATCACTCTACATCAACTTCATTGACTACGAAAAGGCATTTGGTAGCGTGGACAGAACAACACTATGGAAGCTTCTTCGACAAGATGGCGTGCCTCAGAAGATAGTCAATATAATACGGAATTCCTATGATGGATTACACCGCAAAATCGTACATGGAGGACAGTTGACAAAGTCGTTCGAAGTGAAGACCGGTGTTAGGCAAGGTTGCTTAGTCTCACCCTTTCTCTTTCTCCTGGTGATCGACTGGATCATGAAGACGTCAACATCTGAAGGGAATCACGGGATACAATGGACATCTAGGATGCAGTTGGACGATCTACACTTCGCAGACGATCTGGTGCCTCTATCGCAAGCGCAACAACAAATGCAGGAGAAGACGAACAGTGTGGCAACAGCCTCAGCAGCAGTAGGTCTCAATATTCACAAAGGAAAGAGCAAGGTTCTCCGATACAACACAGCATGCACTGATCCAATCACAATTGACGGAGAAGATTTGGAAGATGTAAAATCCTTTACATATTTGGGCAGCATAATTGATAAACAGGGTGGATCTGATGCAGATGTGAAGGCGCGGATCGGCAAAGCAAGAGCAGCATATTTACAACTGAGGAACACCTGGAACTCAAAGCAACTGTCAACCAACATCAAGGTCAGGATTTTCAATAGAAATGTCAAAGCAGTTCTACTGTATTGGGAAGAAACCTGGAGAACTACGAAGGCAATCATCCAGAAGATACAAGTGTTTGTTAACAGTTGTCTACGCAAAATACTTCGGATACGTTGGTCGGATACTATTAGCAAATAAGTACTGTGAGAGAGAACAAACCAGATCCCAGAGGGGGGAAGAAATCAGGAAGAAACGCTGGAAGTGGATAGGACAAACATTATGGAAAGCATCCAACTGCGTCACATGACAAGTTTTCATATGGTATTCTCAAGGCCAAAGGAGGAGTGGAAAACCAAACAACACATTACGTCGTGAAATGGAAATATACATGAGAAAAATGAACAAGAATTGGATGGAACTAGAAAAGCAGACTCAGGACAGAGTGGGTTGGAGAATGCTGGTCGTTATTCTATGCTCCATTAGGAGTAACAGACGTAATTAAGTAAGTCAGTAAGTTGTTTGAGGTGTTTCCTCGTTACCGTTATGTGTAATGTATGCGCATACACAATGTAGGAAAGAATAACAGATGTGTTCAGTCACTGTATATGTATTTATTATTCATGCACTGACTTTGTGAAAGTGTATTCCACAGTTGGCTAATATTGACTTCCCTCAATTCATTCAAATATTCAAGTCAATTTTTGAAGTGATCATTAGTCACCTCATATTTCTTGTTTATTTATACAAGAATGCAAAACGTTGTTTTTTTTTTAATTATGTACTTAGGTTGCATTGATTACGACGCATATTTTGTTCTTTATTACTTTGGCATACAGCTTTTTAATACCATACCGTTTTCGTGAATTATTTAATTAAACCTGGTTTAAACTTATTTACGACAGAAAACGTGATTATATGACAATCTTGGCATACAGATACACAGATGAAAGAAGAATGGAAGTTTAGCATAAATTTTCACAATAAATATATTTAATCGAAAGATCCGATTACTCAGAATGAGAAAGTTCAATATAAACATTTGTGTATGATTAACCAAATTATAAACATTATATCAATTCATAATGATTAAATTGTATAGTGTTAAGGCACGAATGACGAATGAAAAACTTCATAAGAAGTATTTGTCTTAAACGGAATTGATTAGGATGCTTATTTAGATACGATTTCTGAAGAAATAATTACATAATGTGTTCATAACAGTGTTTGACATTCCAGACATTGATATATTGATTCAGTGATTTACATTTGAAATACTAATAGCCTAACTTGGATTTTGAAAATTCTGTTGATTGTTTGTCCATATGTGCTCAATATTAGTATAGTCAAAAATGTAAGCAGTTCTATACTGACGTTTCTTAGAGTAATCATTATAACAAAGTGTTAAGCATGATTGAACTATATTTATTGTAACATGATTGATATCGTAGCCAATGTTATATTCATTACTGGGTACAGGGTGTTTCTTTGTGAAATCTTTTTCTTGTGGTCCTCACAAAATGTGATTTTATCAGTACAAAAATAAAGTTCGACCTTATTATTTAAAAGAAACACATTAGTTTTAGAAAGATTATTTAACATTTAAATAAGTTACACTGAATTATCATTGTAAACCCACACTCATCAGCGACGAAGTAATGAACGTTGTGCGTTGTCTATCAACAAGATGGCTAAACTATGACTCTGATTGCCTTATTTTTCATCAGCATGACGCTGTCACATTGAAATTCCCTTTTGCTTGAAAATAAAAGACTTCAATCGTTCCATTTTCTTAATTGGTCATTCAGTTGATATCAGACTATGATAAAAGATAAATCGCCCAAATTATTGAACATGTTCATCATGTATACGTCAACATCTGAAGGAAATCACGGAATACAGTGGACATCTAGGATGTAGTTGGACGATCTAGACTTCGCAGACGATCTGGTGCCTCTATCGCAAGCGCAAAAACAAATGCAGGAGGAGACGAACAGTGTGGCAGCAGCCTCAGCAGCAGTAGGTCTCAATATTGACAAATGGAAAAGCAAAATTTTCCGATACAACACAGCATGCACTGATCCAATCACAATTGACGGAGAAGATTTGGAAGATGTAAAACCTTTTACACATTTGAGTAGCATTATTGATGAGCACGGTGGATGTGATACAGATGTGAAGGCGCGGATCGGGAAAGCAAGAGCAGCATAATACCGGCTGACGAATATCTGTAACTCAAAACATCTCTGGAAAAAAAGCGAAGCTCTCGGAGGATATTTCATGTGAAATTAATTCAATAAAAGCAAAAGCAGTAGTATTGGTACGTAATTTAACGATCAACACGATAATATTTACTCTAAAGAAAAACATCACTGTCCTTGTTAAATAGTGCGTGGATTTTCGGTTTTGTGTATATACGTTTAAATGTTCACAAAATTACTACTGTTAGGCTCGGAGATATTTTTCAAGTCGTGGATGCTCACTGCTGAAGAAACCTATGACCAGACGAAACGGCCGTACAGTGTTTTCAAGTTTTCTGGTCTGGCTTCAACCGACTCATGAACTTAACCATTGAAATCGCTATAATATCCACAAAACCCATCTGATATTCAGCTTTTGTTGAGTGAAAACAATCACGTACAATTTATAAAACCATATTTTATATTTTATCAACAAAAACATGAAAATGGCATGTAGTTCCATGGAGATTTTTGCAATTTATTAAAATTATTCACAAAATAAAAATTGTTTTAAATAAAATAAAAATAACGAATCCAGCATGATAAAAGCAAGTAGTAAGACATCGCACAGTATCACACACTAATTTTTATTTCTCTAGAGGTTATTCATACTCTACTAACGTGCCACGTTTGATCCATTTTTCAGGAACATTTATTTTGAAGGTTCTCTTATCTAGTGTAATAAATTATACAAAAGAAGACACTTGAAATTTCGATTTCGATTTTAAATATAACAAATAATTTGTTAGTGTAAGGAGTGTTCAAAATAAGAAGGTGTTTAAGATATGATTACGGACCAAATATTTAATGCATTTTCTGAAATTCAACCATCAAACACTACATCCAGCTTAATCGCTTACACTTAATGCTTGTGTTAAAACACAGCATCATCTTTCAAGAACATATGATCATGTCAATGTAGCATGATAATTGGGCATTTAATAAAACAACTATCGATTCTATTTGACTAAATACACTTTTTTTTGCGTTGAGGGATGATATGAATAACGACTGCAAGTATTGCTGATCGAATAGTGAGTGAATGAAAAAAACAATGGATGTGTCGTCTGCCTACTATCCTCGTTCGTATATTATGTTTATATCAGTCAATCGGTAAACATATATATGGAAGGCTTCGCCAAATATCCATTCGCACTTTTGCAATGAAGACTTTCACATTTCTCAGTCATATTACTCGATATACAAAGCGAGCAAGTGTCAGCAGACGTGTTTTTCAAATTCAATAATGATTCACTTAAACAAAGAAAACTGCCACAACATCACTGAGAATTCACCAAAACAACTCAAACCTGCTTTGTGATTGTAACAAATATGAAGGTTATTGAGATGAAGATACAGACACATTGATTATAATTCAGATAATATCAGTAGTCCACCGTTCGATATACTTGATCAAAAATACTAGATATTCTCCACTGTAACTGTTTACCACATGTGATAACACAATTTCGACTCAGGATGTGTAAATGCTTAGTAGATATTGAATTTTCAATTAAGAATGACGTTTGTACAATGAGTTATTGAAATGTGTTACGATCTTACTTCGCACCATTCTCATCAACACTCCAGTGACATATTGATCAGGTTATTTTACACACGGAACAACTGCATAATGTAGACTGTGAAGAAGAAGAAATATTTGTTCACTCTGATAGACTACAGCGAATTCCTGTGTTGACATACTAACAATAGGGTACAAATAGAAGGCAACGTTAGTCTAACAAATGATCGGTTATGTAAGTAAGTGAATATCAGAATATAAATTACATTTTATACCACCTCTTTTGCAATATGTTACACCTTCAACGATCGATTCCATTTTATATCTCCCCAAATCATGAGGAATCTGTAAAGAAATAATAGAAGTCATAGTCATTTTCCATTAACAGAAAACCATTGATATCAAAACCGATATACCATTGAAGTAACGTGTCGTCATTCACATTATTTTGCACGAAGACAACTGATCACACTCATAGTAGGCATACTGATCTTCTCCGTTCTCTTTGGGCTACGCTGCATCTGGTCTACAGAGATATTCCGACTGGCTTCAATTGTCTTTTTAATCAAGTTAGATGAACGATCTATCTATCATGGAATGAGATGACATTTTGAGATGAGAAGCTACAACCGTTCACAAAAATGTGACTGTTAATCACTGCAATCTTGCTGCACGTGAATTTATTGTCATGTTTGGAATTGTGTTCATGTGCTCAGTTACATCCATCGCCGTCCGTTCGCGAAGAGAATTTTTTCCATAGTGTGCGCAGATTACCTCGGAACAATCAAAACCGATTCACTTCAACATACATGAAATCTCTTATGTAGCCTTCCATTACTAGTTATCCAACATCTATTGTATTCTAAATTTACAAAGTACTCAATACTGAAATTCGAACAACTGCACGATCAACGTTTTAACAAATGATAAATCAAAATATTTAAAAGTCGTTTTTTTGAACATCTGAACTTCAGAAGACGTTGTAAATCGTGACAGAATATCCATTTTACTGTAGAGAGCTCTAACATACACTGTTTCTCCACAATCGGCGCAAAGACATTAGAAATTCCATTGATAGCGTTTCATTATCTATAATTACCTGTTTTATAATGTATGCCAGGATAAAGTGTGTCATTAATGGTTTTGTGACCCATGGTTTCCTGTTCTCACGTCGCGGTTACCATTTTAGTGGCCCGTAGATCTGTCTACAATTAGATCGTAGGAATGATTGTTATCGCCTTTTCTTATATATCATCGACGACTTAAATCACGTTAGTCAATAACGGAATTTAGATAAGTCAATTAACGAGAATGGTTTTTGAATACATATATTTCGTAAGTAAAGTGAATGTAATAAAACAGAGCGAAATGATGGGCAGGAAAGATGGCTGGGTAGCCAACTCCGTTTTAGTCAAGAGTTACTCCATATTTATACTCAGACAAAATAAAGCTACAGACATGTGATTAATGCGATAAAAAGGGCACACACATATACACTCTTATAAAAACAGTCAAGACTGATAAGCGAATAACTGACAAGGTCAAAATATGACTCATGTAGAATGAATAAAATGGGATATCCGCAAGCTAGAATAAGCTATATGGACTTGGCATAAGAACTGACACTACAATGGATTGTTGATGCTTTCATATAGTCTGTGTTGACATTGCAAAATTTTGATGTCCTTCTATCATGTTCAATGTATCTTGATGCATTCGACACTATGAACATGCTTGAAATATGAGATTAATCTAAAGCAATTTAAACAATAATATATTCCCATTCAATTTTGCAACTTACTTCATCATAATAGACAGATATCTTCCCAGTTGAATGTAACATAGTGGTTACTTCGATTACCTGATCTGTAAGCAGAAAATTGTCGACTTTTAGAATTCAAAGCGTTAGTGGTGATCATGTCATTGTTAGATGTTATACTGTGTGTGCCTGCTGACAAAGTGCCGAGATATAAGCCGGTATTTACTGTGCTATCACAAATGTCTTATATTATTTGAATTCGTAACGAATATAATCTTCTGAACGTCGTGTAAATGTAGCAAGCATCATGCTACAAAATGAATGTCAGATGTTCAGTTTTCGAGTCTTCAATACACCACCATTTTCATATTGAAACAATAGATCATTAGGCTTCTAATTAGATCTGACAGTTGGAGTGGTATTCACATCCCCTGGATACATTCTACTATGTGAGTTTTGTACTTTATTTGGTTATGTAATACACTGCTATATCAATCGATCAAATGACTCTGACCACAATATTTATTAAAAATGAGAAGTAAATAGCCTATCAACGAAGATGGATCTCTGCATTCATTTATCCAAACGTGAAATGAGATTATGACCGAATTTATCAATAGTGGTCTATTTATTACTCGACAAATCTAGTATGACAACATATATAAGCGAACAATATTGTTTTCGATTAGATCCTCATCAGGCTTTACTCTAATATACAGTAATATTTATATGCATATACGAAATGAATTAAACCAATCAAGGTAGTTTATAAGTCAATGATAACAATGGAAAAGATTACATAATAAGTAAGATGTGAAAAGTACAAATTGATGGTGTGACAACAGGTGCATTAGTTTTTGATAAGCAATAATAATAAAGGTTCAAATCAATGTTACATAATCTGAAATAGGTCAATGATTAGAAAAATATAGAAACTGCGATAACAATTATAAAATTATAAGATGACGTAATAAGAAATGTTCAGATAATTGGACCATGAAACGTATAGTTGAGAGAAAATAAAGTGGTAGGAGGGTGTGAAGAAAAATAATAAACGAAGAGAAAGTTAGAAAAGGAATAATAAATAAATTCATTTATTAATTAAGGCCAAGGGAGAGATAAGGGAGTTACAAATTTCTTCTGAACACAAAGACTTGGCTTGTTGGTTCGGATTCCTATAGCTTCTGCTATGTGTAAGAGACGAGATCGAACACCATAAGGAAAACTAGTGGGTATCCGATATATAACTTTGAACGACTTGGTTCTGTCTACTATATGACCGCTATCGATCAAGTGTGATAGAATCGAGCTGCGTATTGTTTTGACGTAACCTTTTCCGAACCATGATGGGAGGTGTTCACTAACTCGTTGGTTCAATTATCTGAACATTTCTTATTACGTCATCTTATAATTTTATAATTGTTATCGCAGTTTCTATATTTTTCTAATCATTGACCTATTTCAGATTATGTAACATTGATTTGAACCTTTATTATTATTGCTTATCAAAAACTAATGCACCTGTTGTCACACCATCAATTTGTACTTTTCACATCTTACTTATTATGTAATCTTTTCCATTGTTATCATTGACTTATAAACTACCTTGATTGGTTTAATTCATTTCGTATATGCATATAAATATTACTGTATATTAGAGTAAAGCCTGATGAGGATCTAATCGAAAACAATATTGTTCGCTTATATATGTTGTTCTAAATTTACAATATGGGAATATTTCAAATTTTGAAATCTAGTATGCTCAAGATAATGCCAACTGTTCTTCAAGTCTTTAACAATTTGTTCAAACGACCAGTGGATTTCACATATAATTCCTGAATAATTTTCATGATGGTTACACTTTATTACTTCTGTCCGTTTTTGAAAAGAATTCAACTATGCAAACTGAGCAGAAAAAGTGGGAGTGATTACAATGAATGATGATGTATATGTATTATTATTTCAAATGTTATCGAACAATCATCTATGGATACATACTTTCATCATGAACTCCTCGATAATAAGACGTTCTGACGGCTAAAAAGTGCTCTGAAATAATCAGAGTAAAAATATGTGTTCATATGTCTGTATAATGAATATCCACGTCTTTACATAAACATACATTATAACAAAGAATTTGTTTGGACACGAGATATTATGTTCTTTTCAAGACTGAACTGGTTTAATTAAGTGGCGGTTTTAGGGATCATTATAACCATTTTAACGATGTGATGAATGTTTCAATCCAGTCAACTAACAAGAATATTTTCTGAAACATTGGTTTTAAAAGCATTTGGCTAACTAATAAACCGTGAGTATCTTTGGGGCAATACACATACAGAATCATTTTCTCAGAATCTGCTATTCCGATCGAACCGTGCTCCTTCAATTAAACTAACTGTTACGCAAAAATGATATCACAATGTCAATAATTCCGATATCTGAACAAAATGAATAAACTTCATTTTGATGTTCAAGGCATTCCGATTTGAATAAATTATGTTGCACTAGCGAAATATGCATGATAGTTTGCTTATTAGATGTTTAAAGAAAGAGAATGAGTTCAAATTTCATGATCTTACGAATATGATTATCAAGCAGGTGTGCAGATTGTTCTGACAAGCTTATTTTGTAAATAGTTTTTAATATTATTTGTATTTGTTTTGTCAATCTTTCACTGTCTGTATATTTTGTACTGTTGTTTTAGTTATTGACCTTGTACACACTTTTCCGTTGTGCTACTACATAGCGTGACATACTGTTGCTGGCTAGCAAATACACTGCTTCTCACACATTCCTCGTTCTATCTTCATTTGTGATTGAGTTAACTGAAGTCTAAATCAAATACTATCTACATTCATAGACTGTAATTGAAATATATCACATCCTACGTTGGATTATATCATTGGAGAGTTCATCAACCCGATCAGAATCAACAAGCATTTATAATTGTGGATTTACAATACTGGACCCAATCAGAACACGCAACATTTGGTCAATTTAAGTAACGTTCCAAATTTTTATTGAATTTGTAACAATTAGCTGGTATATATTATTATTACTGTTGATCTTTAGTAACTTTGTTGATATTTTTCATGTTCATATCTGTCTCGTCCACCACAATGGTGTTGAGTATACAATGATCCACAGACAGTGACTAAGAGACATTGAAAGTTTATGAATCTTGCACAAAATCACTTATTGTTATACTCGTGATCAGTTTGACTCATTGAATCCACCAGCAAGTGTCGTTTTGATGAGATAACTGATTGATGGTAGTTTAAACAGACTAGAGATTAAGTAATTTCCACTGAAACAATTACATTATTCAAATTATTATTTCCACTCAATCAATTTGAGTTTGCTTTGAAGTGAAACGCTGTTTAACTTACCATTTTCACTGCACAGTAATGTATACGTATTGTGAACACATTTTAACCTATCACTGAGCACCAATCAACTCTCATGTAATATTCAACTTAACTAATGAATCGTTTATGCAAAGTATAAGTAGAAAATAAAGACGCAAAACAAAATATTATTAGATAATAGAAAAACTCACTCTTGTTCAAAATCCGAGATTTAGACCAATGCCAGCCATTTAGGAAATTGCCAATTGTTCCTAAGTAATGTGGTCCCAACAAGTCTATTGCACCTGTGTTTATCGAATTAAAACATGAAATTCGATTCACAGTCTACAGTGAATAAATGGCAGAATTTGAAACCAACTAGAGACTGAAATGATTTGCATAAATGGTAATTAGCTTGCCATAAGGCGTCAAACTATTTACAACTTGGACAAAACAAAATATCGGCAGTTCCGAAAGTTAGAAGAAACATAAAACTGATTTACTGAAGAAATTCAGACAACTTTGATTCAAGGAATGAAGTGTATATAATCAAACCTCAGTAATAATTTTAGTCCGATGAAAAGGATTCGCTTACCTGTAAATTTTACACGGAATTTCTTGACGTTTTTTCTGCCAAATTTAAAACGGAATTTGGGAACGATTTTCTGAAATCATGCATACATATGGATTAGTACCTCCATTGCAAACTGTAGTCGACTCACCTTATCACTGTCTAAATTCTCAAACCTCTTTGGAAAATGTGGACGAGGCTGATTGAGGCGAATTCTCTGCATATAGGTAGAAAATTTAGTCTGAATATGTATATTACAACTTGACTAAATACTTACATATTTATGTTCATCATCCTCAGAAACTATTTCTTCATTCGGATTTGGTGAAGAGTCTTCACAAATGTTATAGCAGTCAAAAGATTCCGAAATTAATACGATAACCAAACAGATCGGTATCAACTGACCAGATGAGAAGGTATATCTGAAATGGTTCAGATAAACAAAACAACGTTATCTCATCGGGTTAAATTGAGATTCATATAATGCACTAATTTGCTTCAACTGTACAGTCAACACTAACTTCATCTCCTTCAAAACGTTAATAATTGTTGCTGGAACATGTTGTGCTTATATAGATTTTTGAAGTGTTTGTTTGCTTTTGTCTGATTTGGTGATTCAAACTGACCATTAAAACGGTCAAATTTCATAAAATCATATGATCATTGTTAATCAATCACTCTGGTCGATGAAATCATCGTTATGCATTATTTTTCTAGCTTTTGTGATATATAGGCTGAGATTCATCCATCGTTGGTTGAAATTCCTGACCTGTAGTGATGAAAATCATTTTCGATGTAATAAGCTACACTTTAAAATAAGTGATTGGTTTGTTTGTAGTTCAAAATATGTGCTCATGTCTTCACGAACAAACATTTTGTTGGTTGTAATAATCTGCGAAATGTTTATCGATGGTGCAGTGTTTTAGCACACCCAGGAAAATAAGTTCTGGAGGTCCGTTTTATCCTATTGTGGAATTCCTCAGAAGTCAACCTCCACGATCTCGCATCGCGAGATTTTAACTCAGGTCTTCTGGGTCTCGCGCGCGAACACTTAACCTCTAGATTGCTAAAATATTCACAAAACCCCTTCTGATAGTAATGGAAATATACTCACTAGTGACCGGCTTCAAGAGGTATTTTCCGGAGTTCTAGTAAGAAGCAGCGATCAGTTGTTAGATGGTTACTAACTAAATACAGTGATCGATATGTCACTCAGTTTAATGAGTTAGTTGAAATTAAACATTGACACCGTTTGATACCGGCCGTCTCATCAGTCTAGAAGTGGATCGTTCGCGCGCAAGGCATGCGTTCGAATCTCGCGAGACAAGGTCGTGAATTCGAACTGCCGAGGATTCCCGCAGTGGGATGAAATAGGCATCCAGTGCTTTCAGGTTTTGCATGGTGGTTAAGCTTCAATTGACGAATGATGTTCTTTGTACGAACAGGTTTAGCAAACATTTCTAGGTGGGAGAACACGTTAATAAGTAATATGTGAATTGTTTTGAGTATGAATGTTTTGATTGTAGAATCCAAACTACAGTTTGGATAGATGAATAGTCGTCCAGGTACGTTAGACACGCGCCCTTGCCCGTCAAAATCAAAACAAGTAATCGGGTAAATAGTGGTTCTATGATTCATCATAAATTTAAATGTAAATCGTTACCTAAACAAATATTACCACCCGGCTACTCAACCAATAATTGTTCAATCAATCAAATCTAAACTACATAAAATAAAGTTGATAAAAGATGTGGGAAAATTACCAGTCACAACAAATAAACTCTATTCTATCCTGACTGGATAGATCACACACAGAAGGAGGAGCAAGTCAATATGGCTGCCGCCAAGAACAAGTGTCAAGTAAAACAACATGGATACAGTTCGGGAGGAAGCACAAAAACTTAGTGAAGGTGTAATAAAGCTAAAAACTATGATAAAGTACAAATATTAACAATCCAAACGTAATCAAAAAACTAACAATGTACAACTAAAGGGATCAATAGGAACAAAGTGCAAGTATGTACATAGAGGGATTTTCACAAACACACGAGGCATTCAAAACAGATCTTACACCGGCCCCCAAAATCCCTCCATATCACACAAGCTACCTTGATGCCCATGGTCATGGTTCATTATGTAGCATATGACACTAGAGGAACGAGTAGGACTTACAGCAGTACGCCTACTCTACCTACTTACATTGACATGTGAGGAATTAATTCGACCCTTCAAGGAGACATAATCTACGTATATCTCTTCTGACTAATCCGCCGTTCGTACGAACAACTACCGTTCTAACTCTTCCGTCGTCATCTATTTCACAATCTTCAACTACTCCTAAGGGCCACTTTTCACGGGTCGATATGTCAGAAGCCACGATTACTACATCTCCTTTCTGAAAATTACGGTGTTCAACTAACCATTTCTGACGTTTTTGTAGGGACGGTAAATACTCTCTCAAACATCTTTTCCAAAACACATTAGCAAGATGAATAACCTGTTTCCAACGTTTGTCGTATTTATCTCTGATGTTGCCTTTCTTGACTATTCCGTTACATTCTCTCAATAATAACAGACTATTCGGCGACAAGGCTAGTTTATCGTTAGCATCTTGGACGACCGGAGTTATGGGTCGATCGCTCAATATCCTTTCAATCTCAATCAAATAAGTGCTTAAGGTCTCATCGGTTAAAGTCTGCTCTCTAGCCATCAACTGTTGCCCTGTATTCATCGTAAACCGCCGGCAAGTCATACACTTTCCTATCACTCTCCTAACCGTGCTGGTTCCTTTTATTATCCAATACGTTTTTCGAATCGTGGCCAGTACTTGGGACGTTCCTGTGTGCCCTTGTTCCTTATGATAATGTCTAATTATCATTTCTGTCACTAAGTGGCGGCTGTGCAATATAATTGGATGTTTAAAGGCATCTGGGACATCTGAGTAGTTTAGCCGACCTCCAACACAGAGTAACCCACCCAGCATTATCGGAGATAAACCCTTCAGATCATTGTGACTAACTACTTTAACATTGTTTTTAATTCCATTAAGTATTTCTCCGTACACTTCTTTCTGAACCATAAATAAAATTTTACGCTTGGCGATGTCAAGCTCTTTGATCTTTAAACATCCTAGATGAACGGAACCTTCATGACTCGATGAACGAAGTACCGTCAGGAATTCTACGAACCTTTTAAGCCATGCTACGGCCCTGAATAATTTCAACCACTCAGAATAATAAGAGAGAATAGGTGACATGTTATACTTTACACTACTCAAGTTAACCACAGCAGTTTTTCTAAACTCAATATCGTCAGGAGTAGGTTCCGGACAATCAGTAATTGCTGTACAAAATTCACCACGCAGTAAGGTAGAGCATTTGAACCAAAGCTCAAGATCTGGCATTTTTTGTATACCTCTCGGAGTCCAATCAGCTGGATTCTGTGACGATTTTACATAACTCCATTGTTCAATTTTCGTATACTGATGCACAATGGCGAGGCGGTTAGCTATATAGGTACTATAGCGATTCCCGATATTCTTGATGTAGTACAACACTACCATTGAATCTGTATAAAAGTTTACCTTACAGAAACAAATTAGGCAGACTTCTCTATAAGACTTCACTAAGCCTCACACTTAACACTGCCGCTGCCATCTCTAGCCTCGATATAGTGACCTGTTTGATAGGTGCTACCCTAGACTTGCTGTATAACAAAATACAGTAGGGTCGTTCCTTCAAATAACTGACTCGTGCGTACGCGACTGCTCCATAACCGATCTCTGAAGCGTCACTGAACAGGTGCAATTCTACTTCCGCGTCGAGTTCGTCAGTTCTCTTCTTGATACCCCTAGCTACCGTAACATGATTTATTTGACGCATAAAATTCACCCAATTTAGTCAATCCGACCTGTATGGCTCGTTGAGAGGCTGATCCCAGCCTAATTGGGACTTACATAGCTTTTGCAAAAGAACCTTAGCAGTAAGACAGACTGGAGCAATTAAACCCAAAGGATCGAACAGAGAAGAAACTATAGATAGAATCCCTCTCCTAGTCAGAGGCCTCTCAGGTGCATCGAAGTAAAACTTGAATACATCTTGTTTAAAATCCCATTCTACTCCTAGAGTTCAGTGAGTGGTGTCATAACTCGTTGACATTTCTATCAAAGACTCTTCCTTGCATACCTCAGGCAAGATGGTCCTTACTTCCTCCGAGTTGGTGAACCACTTCTTTAGTTTAAAACCTCCTCTACATAATAATTCACTTATCTGCTTAACGAAACTCTTTGCTTGATCACAAGTGGGAAAGGATATTAAGCAATCATCAACATAGAAATTATTCTTGACAGCATCTGCAACATAACCATCAGAGAACATTTGGGCCGTCTTATTCAAGGCGAATTTTTTACAAAATGGCGATGATGTGGCGCCAAATGGATGAGATGTCATTTGAAACTCAGATGGTTCCGTCAACATGTCTCCCTCCTGCCACCACAGAAATCTTAAGGCTCCTCGATCAGACTCAGGGACTTTCACTTGCATGAACATTTCTTCAACATCTGCAGAGATTGCAACTGCATCCTTGCGAAAACGCAATAATATACACACTAACTCAGCAGTGGTGTCGGGTCCTTGATAAATCATATCGTTTAGGGAAACACCTGAAAACTTGGCGGCACAGTCAAAGACCACTCTCAGTTTCTCTGGCTTTTTCGGGTTTAAAACTGCATGGTGAGGTAAGTACCACCGGGGGCGATAACTAGGTTGCAATTGTATTTCAGGGATCTTCTCCGCATAGCCCTTAATAAAATTACTTTCAATACCATTTGTATACTTGATATACAGAATGTCATCTTTCAACAATCTACGCTTCAAACTCTGTAGTCTACTGTTTGCCACTTCATAATTCCCCCCTTCCATATTTCGGTGCACTTTCCATGGTATAGGGACTACAAAATGACCATTTTCGAAGCGTGTGCCACCTTCCACAATCCTTATAGCCGTCTTGTCGTCTACTGACAATGATTTATCATTTGAATAATTATCAGAAAACTGTACATCATAAAGTTTACTTATTTCGTTCTCCAAAGTCTGTAATTTACTGGTATGATTAACCACTCTTTTCCTATATTCCGAATATGACGCAGGTCAGAAAACTGTCCACCCCAGCAACGTTTTCACAGCGTACGGGTTCTTCCTTCCACCCAACCGTTGGTCTAACACC